ACTTCGTTATTGTATCTAAATTAAATTATAATAAAAATTTTGAATTAAAAAATTACATAAAAAATGAAGAATTTCAAATAGTTAATTTGATACTAATATCGATATATTTTTGTCAAATTATTATGATATCGTCAAACATATATTTTATTCAAAAATAAAAACATCATCGCTTTCTCAAAATCACATAAAGTCATATTATAACATCGACTGAGATAAAGAATAAAATGAAATATTAAAAACAAGATGTATCTCGCTGCATTGCGCGAGTACGCTTCTAGTATATATATATATAAGCGATGACACATATATTTGAGTTCCATATTGATAATTAATGTAGTGGCGATTCATCTTAAGTTTAATTTTAAAAATACATTGTGTCCCCAAACTTGTCGAAGATTCTTTTCTCCTGAACCCGTTAGAGATTCCTTTCTCTGGAAACCATCAATGATTAGTTGGGGCGGGGTCATGGGCTTAAATGGGGTTCGAGGTTGGAAATGGGAGGATGCATACCCGCATAGCTTCCTTGTCTACTTAGCAGGAAAGTATGTCTTGAACGTAACATAATCATAACAGACATGGTGAGATATTCCCGTGTCTACCCACCACCCATCAAATCCGCCAACCAAGTTGACTTCAAAGATCGTAGTCGTGTAAGGCTCTATAATCAGGTTAGGCTACAGTGTAGGCCTGTAGGGTATGGCTTGTTCCCACACTTTCATGCCATATGATCTGATTTCTTATAACTGTAATAAATGTTTTTTTTAAATTGATCTGATTTCTTTTACAATTTTTATGATCAGTAAAAATTATAATATTTAACTTAACATATAATTAAAAACAATTTAGTTTTAAGTTATATATATATATATATATATATAACAATTAAATAGAAAAATTAAAAAATTAAATACCGAAAATGTTTATTGACCAACCCAATATAACACACCATGTGTTTCAACTAGTATTTATCCATTACCCAAACTAATGGAAATAAAAAAAAGTTTGTGTACCAAAGGATTTTGACTTAGCGATATGTGAGTTTTTGACTTCTTAAGAGGTCAGGGGTTCAAACCTTATAAATGTAGGGAGAGTATGTGAGTTTATTTGTTTTATTTGTCATATATAAATATTATAGTTTTAAAAAAAAACTTGTGGATCAAAATAAATTGTGGAAAAAAATGAATATTTTTTGGGGTGTTTCAAAATAATTATAATACAATTTCTTAAGTTGTATTAAATTATACTTGAATTTTCACGTAATCCTTTTTGTTATAATAAATTAATAATTATTATCAATCAAATAACTCCGTGCGATTCAGAATATAGGTTGTTTGTTTACCTCTTAATAGTTCTATTAAGAGACAATATCTGAATTGTTAAGAGGTGAATCTTGTTTGACAAAAAAAAATTCTGCCTCTTAATGGTTCTAAAACCCTCTGAATGATTTTGTATCCTGGATCTCCCTTAACAATTAAGATCCCTTAACAATTAAGAGCCCTAATTTCATTGTACACAATTACTAAACAATTATATTTTATTTTGCACTATATCATGAGAGCATCTTAATCATTCTGACCACTTAATCATTCTGCACCAAACCATTCAGCAATTGCCAATCAGACCTTAAAAAACAAAAGAATTTAAAGTATTAAATAACTTGTATCCATAGAACATCTGACGTGACATAAATAATGAATAAATAGAAGTTAATATCATTCCAATTGCCATCAAAGAGTTCACTACCTTTTTGCGTAAATATTGTATTCGGGGGAAATGATGGGTTCGTAAGCTACAAGGGGTACCTTTTGGATGTGGGATGCTCGTTTAACCTCTGTATTAATCTCGTTCTTTATTAATCAGTTAAAGTTTTAGTTTATTGATACATATTGTAGTGTTTCGTAGCTCAAAACAATATTAAATCAACTTAAAACAGTAGTATTTATTTTGGTCCGTAATTTTGATGTTATACGAACATTTCTAACAACTTTTTCAAAATGTAGAAAAAACAAGATTTTACAGATTTTTTTTATCAACCTAGATATCCAACCCGCTATGCAAGCCGACTAATCTCAAGGCGACCACCTGCTTTGCAGATAGTCCGGAGTCACGGCATTTGAACCTCCATGACCACAAAGAGTTTTTTATTTCTCCTTGGATTTGAACCTGAGACCTCCTGGCACCTTTGACCTTTCGAGTTAAGTTCAAACCAATCAGACACCACCCTTGGGTTGATTTTTCTTTTTTGGGGGTCTAACGTCTTCATCAAAACTTCCTTTAAAACCGAGAAAGTAGCGAACGAATGCAAATTTTTATAAATTTGGAGATTTTATTTCAAAATCTGTTTTGTTACCTCCACGTAATTACTTCAAATCGATCGATAAAATAAATGGAAAAAGAAAGAGAAAAATATTTTGATTACTTTATTTGTTTCAAAATAAATGTTCAGAATTAAAAAGACATAAATTTAAAATTACATAATTATTAAACTTTTTAATCAGCTAAATAACAATTATACCCTTAGCAAATAACAGATAAATTTTCTGTATCTCATAATTAATGGTAAAATAGAAAAATAGACATTCACTTATGAAACCAATGTTCTGTATCTCATAACATAAATGTTACAAACCAATCTTAACCATCCATCTACCCCAATTTTATAATATATATCTTAATTGTTTCCAAATAAAACGAAAACCATAACGAATAAACTTCATCATCATTCATAAATATCTCGATCATAATAAATAAACCATAATCACCTTCCATATATATAAATTGTTCATTAGGGTTGGGTTCCGATAAGAAGAGAAGTTATTTTGAGATGCGTAAGAAGAGATTCCACCCTTGGATCAATCATAATTAAATGTCAACACTAATGAGGTGCACTTGATCAATTTTCTTCTAAAACACAATTTATGAGTGAGCATGAGATAAAAAGTGATCAAGAGCTCAAATCTCTTCTTACGCTTCTCACCATAACTACTATCTCACACGATCTTTTGCCTTGTACTATAATCCAAAATCCATATAACTTCTAACATTTATATCAACTCTCCTCTACATACATACATACATACATATTATATAGACTTGGGATCATGTGAGACCAAGAGTTTTTCATGAGATTCGTAAGACCAATTCTCAACCCTTCGATTAGATCTACAATCTGAACATTCATAATCACAAAATTGCTACGAGACTTCTCAATAATCACAAAATTGCCACCGTGCAACTTTAGACCATTAGATCATTAGCTTATAAAGTTGATCAATGAACATAAATTGGTCTTATGGGTCTCACGAAAAACCCTTGGTCTCACGTGAACCCAACCATATACACACACACACACACACACACACACACACATATATATATATATATATATATATCAACTCTCCTCTGCATATATACATAGGGTTGAGTTCACGTAAGACCAATCTGTTTTCGTGAGACACATGAGACAATATTTTTACACTTAAACTTCACAACAAAATATTGTAAAAGTAAAAAAAAAAAAAAGACGAACCTTCACTTAAAAAACAGCGTGAAAGTTACATTCATAATATTTTACTGTAAAATTTAAAAGTGTAAAAATATTATATATACATTTCACAATAAGTTACAAAGATGTCGATAAATAACCATGCCCAATATATCAAGAAAAATAGAAAATAACAATAATTTTAAAATAAAAAAATAAAAAAAGTTGGTTAGCCTCTTCACCTCCTTCTATTAATACATGTCCCTTCTCTTTGAGACCAAAAACGAGATAAAACACACCTTCGCCAACACACACACACACACACACACACACATATTGAGACTGCTCTTTACGAGAGTATCTCCTTCACACACATTTTCACACTTTCACTATGTGTAATCCCACCACCAATCCACCACCACCACCACCACCCACCGCCGTCTCCGATCACCTCCTCCCACCACCACCACCGCCACACCCCCATTTCTATCTAGATCTCTTCTCATTATCCATCCCCAAAACCCACTCTAAAAACCCTCAATACCACCCTAATAACATCCTCTTAATCCCTTCCCCTTCTGAAATCATCCATGAAACCAAAGCTCTCTTTAAGCTTTCTTCTCCGATTGCTTTAACGGCTCTGATCCTCTACACGCGTTCCATCATATCTATGTTGTTCCTTGGCCGGCTCGGCGACACTGAGCTCGCCGCCGGCTCCTTAGCCATCGCCTTCGCTAACATTACTGGCTACTCTGTTTTATCCGGCTTGGCTCTCGGCATGGAGCCGCTTTGTTCTCAGGCCTTTGGTGCCCGCCGGCCGAAGCTGTTATCGATTACGTTACATCGGACTGTTATTTTCCTTCTTCTGGTTTCGATTCCGATTGCATTTTTGTGGCTAAATACGTCACGGATTTTGATTTATTTACATCAAGACCACGACATCGCACGCTTGGCTCGCACGTATCTCATCTTCACCTTACCCGATTTGGTATCCAATTCGTTTATCCACCCGACCCGCATTTACCTTCGCGCACAAGGCATCACTCTCCCTTTAACCCTAGCTTCTCTCATTGGTACTCTTCTGCAATTTCCGATGACTTATTTGCTGGTTTTCCGGCTGAACTCCGGCGTGGTGGGTGTCGCTGCTGCTTCTTCAGTCTCAAATTTTGTTGTGTTGGTGGCGCTTGTTTTTTACGTTTGGTGGACCGGGTTGTACTTGCCTACATGGAACAACCCGACCCGCAAGTGTTTAACCGGGTGGGGCCCGTTGGTTCGGTTGGCCGCACCGAGTTGTGTCTCGGTTTGTCTCGAGTGGTGGTGGTACGAGATCATGATCGTTCTTTGTGGGCTTCTTGTGGATCCGAAGGCGACGGTTGCGTCGATGGGGGTTTTGATTCAAACAACTGCTTTACTGTATGTGTTCCCGTCGTCACTTAGCTTCGCGGTTTCGACCCGGGTTGGGAATGAGCTCGGAGCGAACCGCCCTGATAAGGCACGGGTGTCTGCGATGGTGTCTGTGTTTTTTGCGGGTTTGATGGGTTTATCTGCGATGCTATTTGCAACGTCAATGAGACAAAACTGGGGTCGAATGTTTACGAATGATTCAAATATATTACGATTAACATCAATGGCCCTACCTATTATTGGGCTGTGTGAATTGGGAAACTGTCCACAGACAGTTGGCTGCGGGGTTGTGCGTGGTACAGCCCGACCAACCACCGCAGCCAATGTGAATCTTGGGGCATTCTATTTGGTCGGAATGCCCATAGCAGTGGGCCTCGGGTTTGGACTCAGAGTCGGGTTTATTGGGCTTTGGGTCGGGTTACTTTCAGCCCAGGTTTGTTGTGCTGGGCTGATGTTATATGTGGTGGGGACCACAGATTGGGAAAATCAAGCAAAGAAAGCAGAGATGTTAACATGCAACGGAGGTGCAGGTGGAGATGCATCCTTAGCTTCTCCTGATCGGGACATTGAAAAACAACCGTTGATTTGCATAATGATGACGTCATCATGATAACACGTTTGACCAAAAGAAAAAGTCAAAGTTAACAAAAATATAGAGGACCCCATTTTGAAATTTATAATTATTATTATTATATGATAATAATTATTTTTTAAAATTTTTGAAGGAGTTTCATTGAGTTTGAATGTGTATTATTACTGATTTTTTTGGGTGGGATTTTACATAAATTAATTAAAAAGAATTAATTTTGATTTTCCTTGTATAAATGGTATTTTTTTTAAATTGATTCGGTTTCCCGTTTTACCCTTGCTTGCGATCTTCGGCAACATTTGTCCAATAACGGAACTTGAAAATTCAGTGCATTTATTATCCTGCATATCGTGTCGGTTTTGAACTTGTTTTCAAATGTGTGTGTACAGATATGTTGGTTGTTATTTTTGCATTGATATATGTATCGTAACATAATCAATTATGATTACATGAGTTGTAATCTCACATCTTATTCCTGAAAAACATCAAGAAGGGTCGTTTTCTGAAAGATAAGATGAGTATCGAGCCAATTTAGTTATGATTTTCCACGTTTGTTTATTCTAGTAATCGTAAATGACGTGTAACTAATTTTGAATTGTTTCCCGTCAATGAGAAGTTCAGTAGCGTTTTATCAGATGGTGTTGATTATGACATAAATAGACGGAATTGCATGTTTTCTTGTGTACCCTTTTATGGTAAAGGGGTATTTTTGTTAAGACATGAAGTCGTTTATTACAGCAGGTAAAATAACAAAAAAGGACATGACAGTAGAAATGTTATTGTATGCAAAAGATATTGAGTAGTTCTACTGAAAATAAGTGGTATACTGAGATTGGCTAGTGGGAATGGTAAATTGACGAAAAAAGACATAAAGAAGTAATATTACCAAAAAGGACATGACAGGTTGTAGGTTAAACGTAAACGCAAGATAAAACTTTGTTAAAATAAGGTAATTGACAAAAGGGCACTTACAAGTGAGAATCGTAAACTGACAGAAGGGGATGTAGAGTAAGAAATGTAAAATGACGAAAAAGGACATGGGAAGATAAAGATTGAACAGATATGCAGGGTAATATATGTGTGGATAAGGATGGTAAAATGACAAAAAAGGACATGACAAGTTAAGGTAAACAAGTTATCTTGGTGTTTCATTTCCCTCCTCATGATAAGGATAGAAAAAATATGTTGCAAAATGAAGGGTGGCCATGGGGTTAAAGGGGTCCATTCCATCCATAAACAGTCTGTCATAGAAACTGAAATAGTAGATAGGGATGGGAAATAAAATAGCTACTTGTCTGGTTTTCAAGTGCCATTCTTTTTCTTTCGGGTTTAAGTTTCTTTTTCACGCATTATGCCTGTACTTTGTGCATTGATTGCTGGTACGTCAACAGTTTCCTACAGTCCCGATGTTGTTATCGAGGCTGACAACCTCTGGTACGCAGTTGTGTGCATTTCAAACCTAAACAGTGAAAAACAAACTTCACCATTTATATATCTTGCTATTTGTGCACATAACTACAAATTAAGTCACATTCTTTTTGCATAAAATAAAAGGAAAAGACAAAGAAAAATAGTAGCAAGCGGGGGTAGAACCTCATTTTGGGACCCCTATCCCATCCAACACATCGAATTTCGAACCTAATTCATTGCATTTACATGATATTTTTGACATGCTTATGCTTTTCTAACTGTTCTATACATGGATTTGTAAGAATCTTGACGACTTTCTTTTTCCGTTTTTATAAATCAATTTTCTTCCTTATAAAACTTTTTTTATATTTTACAAATATCAGAGAAATATATCTGTGCATTTAATCTGTCACCAGGGGTGGATGGCCATAGGGGTCTTGGCCCCTGGGTTTTTTTTTCCCGATAGAGTGAAGCATATTCAGTTTATTAAGGTTTTAAGTATAAAATTCTTTTGGCCCCTTCTACTAATGTTGATCAAGTCTATTTGTCACATTTTAAATATGACTAAAAAGAAGATATAGATGAGGAATTTGGCTTTAATGTTGAAAGGATTTGGATACATACATGCATACATAAGTACATACATACATGCATACACATATACATACAAACACGCACGTATACGTAAAAGGGCATATTCAAATAAAAAATCTAAATATCATGAGAAAGTAAGAGAAAAAAAAGGTTAATAGAATGTTCATATGTGAATCATTTGAAAAAAAATCGGAAAAATCTATTTCAAGTTGCATTTGTGAACCAACATTACATATTATATTCATATAGGTTCATATATGAATTTTCAAATGGTTTTATATATTGATTCTTATATGAACGTTCTCTTCTTTATCAAGTATATAACCTAACTTCTTATTTAAACCTCCGTATACATACATACATACATGCATGCATGCATACATCCATACATACATACATACATGCATACATACATACATACATACATACATACATACATACATACATACATAGGGTTGGGTTCTCGTGAGACCATTTTTTTACACTTAAAACTTCACAGCAAAACGCTGTGAAAGTAAAAAAAACCAAACATTCACAGCAAAAACACTATGAAAGTTACTTTCACAACGTTTTGCTGTGAAGTTTCAAGTATAAAAAAATGATCTTACGAGTCTCACGAAAACAAGTTGATCTCACATGATCCCAAGATCCCAAGTGTGTGTATATATATATATATATAATATAATATAATATAATTACCCAAAAAATTAATGTCTATGGTTGGGTGACAACCCTTGCTTCCTACCCATGTGGATGTTTGCTCACTTCTTATTGGTTGAATTGATATCACATGTAGAAAATAATCTCACATGGAAAAAAATTGAAGCAATAATGGATGCTCTCAATTTGATTATTTAATTAATATTAAATTAATTTCTTTTTTATTAATTGATCAAAACAAAGTTATTATTTCATTTTTGTCAAAATTCAATATTGTATATGAAGGACTTTTAGTGTTAAAAATTTCAATAATTAATTTGTATTTTATTTGCATGAGTTGATAATATTTAATAATTATTTTAAATAATATGTTAACACTACAAAATAAATGACCTTTACTCATAAAAACCATCTTGAGAAATTTCCGTTGGTGATTACCGATAGATCACCTAGAAAATACCAATGGTTCAGTAAAACCTAATATTTTTCGAGAAAATACCAATCGATCACCAAGTGAATCCCTAGATAATTTTTCACTGATTTAAATTACCAACAATTTACCCACCAATTTTATAACGGTTTTTGTGACGAATTACCCTTTAATAACAGGTTTTCGAGAAAAAAACCCGTAGGCAAAAGCCCTTCATTTAGTAGTGTAAAGAAGTTTAAAACAATATTGACATAGATTTTTGAATTTAAAAGTAATTAATTGGTTTTAAAATTTTAGTATAATTAAAAAAATATAATTAAATTCATACAACTATACACATTAATGTTTAAACTAAAAAAGAATTCCAATAAAAAAAATGACAATAAATTTTATTTTAATTTCAAATTTGACAATTAACTTTTGAAAATTATATTTTTCTTTTTTAAATTATTTTAAAAACATTTATTTATTTAATATTGGTTGTCTTTCTTTATATTTAAATGTGATCATAAACATCATAACCAACTTGGTTTATATTATTCTAATAAATATTATTTTAGCAACAAATTTCAATTGTTAAATTAGAAATTAAATAAAAAAATATTAAATAAAAAAAATGATAAATTTGATGATAACCATAGTCATGCTCATGTAGGTTGTATTAAGTAGGGGTATGAGTTCACTATAAATGTAGCACATTCATTACAATTAGGTTATGGGTTGCTTATTTTTTTTATTTTTTTTTTGATAAATTATTAATAAAATTCACATCTATGTTGGATTTTTAATAATTCATAATCTTATTTAATATTTGATTATTTTAAAATCGTAATCAATTCGATGCATATTGATTCAAAACAGATCTCTATATCTAATAACAGTTGGCATTAACTGATTGCCATTTTCTGTATCAAATACGCAAGTTTTCACATTATATATAACAATTTGTAAAGTATGAGTTGGAAATGTTGGATATGACCTTGATGGGATAAAGCTGATATCTGCTGTTTCGTTACAAATATTATTAGTTTTTATATTTATATTGAAAAATAAAATGATATACTTTGAATTAATTGTGTATTTTCATTCTGTTGATCCTCTCTCTCAGTGATTTGATGATAATCCTTTTTTTCCTTTCACGTTGTATTTGTGTCTCTGTATTTTCAGTTCCAGCGATCATCACTGAGTATGTTCAGTGATCGCTGAAGAACTTGCATTGTAAATTCATCAGAAACAAACAATACTTCAAGAAGACAACACTCACACCAAAGATCCTTCAGCGAACGTCGAAGACTGAAACTGAAAATTAGAGACTGGCGAGTACGTGATCTGAAGCGGTATTCAGTGATTACAAACTTGTCTACATATGTGTGAAGACTGCTCTAGCTTCAGCGAATGATGATGAGACCTCCAGGTCATCCCAACATTCAGCGATCAAAAGAAGCTTGCTTAGCACGATTGTTGTTGTCTTGTCCTTTTGCACACAAAGGACAAACCCATACCCTTGCAAAAGTTAGTACGGTACGGAGCCGATTAGTCGACTCTTTGTCCACCAACTTTAGGCAATGATGTCTGCTCATGAATAGTGCTTTTGTACTATTCACTGTAGGAAAGGACAAACCTTCCTCTTAAGACTTGCCACACACTCTAAACCTACCTATTGCATTAAATGAACATTTAATGCAATGGGTATAAATAGAAGTGTTTCTTCTCTCTATAGAGCGCGCGCATCTCTCTGCAATCCTCTTCTTACTTCAAGCATCTTCTAGCTTAAGTAAAAGATCTTCTTTTTAACAATCTCTTTTCTTGTAATTGCTAAAGATCTGTGTGTAACCAAAGATTGTTTAGATAGGTTTTCTTTACCTTATCTTTTCGCAAACAGTCTTGTAAAATCTGTATTGATCTTCTCTATCAATATATATTTTAAATTTGAAAATATTGTGTTTGTATTCATCCCC